GTGCTAGTAATAAGTGAGGAATTTTTTAAGTTTGCGAGGACATACTGGTGGCAGAAATGTCATTAGATACTGTTGTTGGATTATGGCTATGGTCTTCTGAAATTGGTGGTTCACATTATGTGAGGCGGCAGTGTGTAGCTTTTTTACGGTCTGAATTCGGACGAATTTGTTCGTCGCATTTGCTCTTTGAGCTTGATGAAGATCTGTTACGTGAATGTCTTTTATCGGATTTTGTACAGGTAATTTTCTTGTGATTTCTGAGTTTTTTTATGAGTTTGCTAAGAGCTAAATAATGAATTTCGATGTTGAGATTGCTGCATTAGACTAAAAATAAATTTTAGTGTTCCGAGGTAGAAATTCTCGAGTCATTAGTGTGTTGGGGAGAAAATGAATTAGTAAAAAGAATGGAAGAACGAGAGCCTAATTTGGTTGCTAACACAACCCACAGTATAAGCCGTCGTGGAGTAAGAAGATCTGACTTAAATGATCAAGAACTGAAGCTTATCCTGCGTAATTTGCTGCCTCTTGTACGAACCGATTATATATTGCCCCCATTTCACCAGGTGTGTTTTTTTACCCCATTCGTACTGAGTGTTTCACTTTTTGCTCTGATTTCTTCGTTCTTTTTCAAGATATTTTTCGAAGAGGTTTAGGACAGTCTGCTATTGCACTGATCACTTTATCTATTCCAACTAATCACAAATGTTTGAAATTTCAGGAGACTCAAATTAACTGTTAAATATATGATGCTTTTTCTGAAGAATCTTTTAGCCGTTTTTTTGAAAGAACTGTCAAATTAATTCAGAAAGGACTACTTTTGTCATACATAAGTATAAGTCTGGAGCTTAGTTTGGTTACTGACAGTATTATAAAATATTTTGCTATTTTATATTTCTTATTATTCTCCACACTTCTGACTTTTTACTTGTCATTGTTCTAGAGTTTGAATAATGCGTATAAAAGGGGACTCCTGGACATATCTCCAAATTCTGATCTTTCTGGCAGGAAATATCCCGACAGTCGCTCGCCCGACATAAATCCTGATGCCCATTGGTTCGACAACACCGTACCAAGACGTCATCCGTGTGGACCGAGGATACTGGTTCCGTACATCAATGTGCGTTCTTTTAGTTGATGGTTTTGATGTACTCTTACATTTAAAATTCGACCTGACAAAATCTCGTCTGAACAGTGAAAATTTAAAATTTGCTTATATGTTTATATTAAGGAAGCTAAAGCACAGTTACGTCGTTTGTGCGGGAATGGAGCAGAAGTTCTTTCGGCTTTTCGAAGAAATGATCGGAATTGTTATTCTTCCGAATTAGAGAGATTTCGTGTCGTTAGTGAGTCTACGGAGGTTACGAGCAGTTCTGTGTGTTCTCAGGTAAACAAAACTATGTTTTTTTTTTTTTGATCTAACAGTTTCAACTGCTATTAATGTTTGGATTTTTGTTAAGAGAGTTTTTGCTGATAGAGTTTACTCGTTTTAATCTATCAGCCTACTGTATTCTAAATTTTTTTGAATTTTTCTTTCCTTAGATCGAATCAAAAATTATACAAATATTGCGTAATGAGGACCTGGTTAAAAGGGCTTTAACATGTGGTTGCAGTTATCATAGCACGCAAGCAATTGAACAGGTACATTTTTTGAACTTTTTTTATTTTGAAGTACTTGTTATTGAAAATATTTCTTTGTTTTGGTGTCGTTAACGTGAAAGTTCTTTTAAGGTATTTTTGCGAGTTTTGCGACAGATGAGAGTTAGCGAAGACTCTGTTCGTATTTTATTTTTTAATGACGGTGGGCAAAGTTTTTATGTGCCAAAACATTACACTAGTCAGCCGGCACTGGCTTTTTCGTCGATGTGGCCAGAAATTGGCTTACGACCATCATCTTCACAGTCTAATTATGGTAAGGCAGGCTAACTTTAGAATAGTGAATGACTGTTATTCTTTTTATTTTAATACTTAGGGTTTGAGGCAGTGACGAACCAAAAGTAGTTTTTTTTTCAGATAATGAAAGCTGTGATTATTTGCCCGATGTTGTTTGCTTGGATCCAGTTGCCTGAAGTCATCGGCTTTAAAGTGCTGCGTATCTAACACCAAAAATTGTTTTGCTGGGCAATGTTCGCATATTTAATGAATTATGGCTCTGTTGCCTATCTTGTAATTTAGAGAAATAGATTATTTATTAAGGATTTATCGATTGTTAGTCTTTTCTTGGGCTTTAGTTTTTATTATTCAAGGGGTTATCTGCCTATTAGAGTTTTTTAGTCGTCACGTATATATATATA